GAAACTATTCTAAACGTAATCTGTCAAATGATGAACAGTTGTACAGTTTACTAAAAGCTCATAAACCGATGATAGGTAAAGTGATGTCAGATAAAGGAATAGATCACTTACGGTCTAGTCCGAGTAGGAATTTTAAGAATCATTTTTATTTTCAATATTACATTCCATTAAAATATTTGAGCAAAGACTAAACATTCGATTTTTTGTGAATAACACAAAATAGACACGCACCGTTCGTTTTTAAAATGAGAAATGCATGATGTATTTAGTCTTCACTTTTTACGATTGCTTTCTTCTATTTCTGAAATAACATATCTTTTTAGCTTAGCTTTTACCAGAGCTATTGTTATGAATAATAATTTAGATATGAACTTGAAAAAAATCCATTTCACATGGTCCGATCGAGTCGAAATTTTCACTACTGAAAACCGCTTAAAAGAAACTGATTCTTTCTGCGTGATTTTCAGTATTTTTCGAATATCTCGAGAAGGAAAGCATATTTTTCGAAAAGAAATGTAGAACCTGAGATAGGATCTGGAGCATCTGTGGTGAAAATTTCGACTCGCTCTGACCATTTTTTCGATGTGTCATAATGTGACTGGTTGAAAAGTGGAATTTTCCGGAAAACCCATAGAAGATCATGTCAGAAAATTCTGAGCAAAAATACGTCGATTTTCTTTTTCGCTCTTCTATCCCTAGTGTAAATTTGAGCTCGATCGGACGTCCACATGTGGCAAAAAGGTGAAAAAAGAACCATTAAAGATAAGGAATGACCTACTACCGTATCATGCTGCTCAGTCGATCATCTCCGATTTTCTTCGAACTTACAGGCCTATTTAGAGCAAACATTTTGATGAATTTTGCGAGAACCGCGTCTCTAAAAGTTGTTCCGATGCTGACAGCGTTTTTGATTAGGTGAGGGAATTCCACCACCTTGCTTGAAATGAATTACTCACCTGAGAAAAAAAACTACTCAATTTATAAAAAAATTTGTTCGGTCAAAAAAGTTAAAGCTTTTTTTCTTTTTTGGTTATTAGCTAAACTTTTTTGAGAAAAAATGTACTCATAAATTTTTTTGAGTTGCTCAATAAAATTTCCCCCACCTTACCAAAGTTATATTGAAAACGCTGGATGCTGAGATATTCAACTTTTACGAAAAGCACTGAAGAGCTGAAATTCTACGATATTGAAAAATCGTCAACTTCAACTTTGTGGAACTCAGTAACGACTTAGAAGATCAACCCTGTTGAAAAGAAACGAAATATGAGGCTGCCAATCATATTTCCAGCTAAACAGCGTGTTGGATTGTTTCTGAAATCATTCTGACAATCTCAAGTGTTACATCAATATCTTCAAGATCAATCTCGGATACCTCACGAGCACGTTCTTTATCGAATACTTTTCAAATACTGATACCATTCATTTTTAATTTCTTAGCATGCTATACATGGAGATTTAGCATGTCGAAATATCCTAGTTTTTACAATTGATGAAAACGAACCATATCGTTGTCGTGTCAAACTCACAGATTTCGGTTTTAGTCGGGGTAGTAATATTCATGCATCTGTAGCTATCGGAGCACGAACAGCTATGAATATTGTTCCAGTTCGTTATACAGCCCAGAAGTTCTCCGAGAACCTACCGTAAAAGAATCTTATACAGAAAAATCTGATGTTTTTCCCATAGGTGTATTGATATGGGAAGTATATTCAAAAGAAATTATACCATGGTCTGAAATCGAAACAGACGATAAAGTGCGAGAACTAGTCTAAAGTGGTGAAAGGTTAAAACAACCTGCAACATGTCCAAATGGTATATGGCAATTAATTCTAAAATGCTGGTCGTATAATGTTCGTAATCGATCAACATTCAGTGATTTAAAACGTTTAATTATCGAACCACAGCAAGCAGATATATGCTTCGATGGAAGGTCTTGCATGTTCGGATATCCGATTTCAGACTTGATTACACCATGCTTTACTCGGACTTTTCTTCGAGAACATGATGTAATCAAACTGCCTAGAGCAGAATACTAGTCAGATTCAGAAAAACTGAGTCCTGCTGGAGTAGATAAACCTTCCCTCAGCTCACGAGTTTGTCTTCCTCGAACATACCCCTAGAAATGATCTGCACGTTAAGAAAATTACTCTTTTCTGCATTTCGAAATAAGGATGAAAAACAGCAACAAACATAGAAATAAAACAACATACATAGAGAGTTCGGGTTTTCACTATTCAAAAATGACTACGACAGGCTATTTCACACAGGCGAATATCAAACATTAGTGTGTCATATATGGGAAAAAAGTTCATTTCATTTAAAACTGTTGTTGTTCTAGACACCTTGTACAATTACATGTGACGGTCTTTTTTCCGGACTTTTATTTCTTTTACAGGAGAAGAAAAGAAAGAACAAAAAAGAAGAATTTTCCTTCCTAGATAAATATCATTCATCATAAACAGGAAAAGAAAAAAATAGATATGGGAAATATTCCTTCGAGTGCATTTCCCAAACGTTGTGACACATGTAAGAGTAACAACAATATTTATGTTCTATGACGATTTGGTCAGTCAAAACGGAAAAACAATAAATAGCCATGTTTCTGGGATTGTATTCAAATATTATCTTTCAACAGCTTGAAACCTTACCATACAAGTATGCAGCTATATTTCTTAGTAGTCGTACTCTTATTCTTCATTCATCATGTATCATTAACACCAATTAGAACAGAAGATGAAGCACTCAACTTGGTTACAATAAATGTGAGTCCGAATCGAAAGTATTATGTAGTATTGATTTTTCGTCAATTCTTCGTGAATATCAAAAGACATTTGGTCTGAAAGAAACTGGTACACTTGATGAGCCAACTATAGAATTATTGAATACACCAAGATGTGGCAATAAAGATAGCCCTCTATCATCATCATTGTTAGCGTTAGCCAATTCTAAATGGAGGAAAAATCGTTTGAGATGGACATTACGCAATTCATCATCACGAATTTCGCATGCACAATCACTCAATATTATACGAGATGCATTTGAACATTGGATAAAACATATACCATTAGATATAGAACAAGTTTGTACAATATGTGAGGCTGATGTTGTCTTTAATTTTGGTCCAGTAGATGGTCCAAGTAGAATGTTGGCTTATGCATATCTTCCAGAAGATGGACGAGTGCATTTTGATTCAGCTGAAAATTGGATTGAAAGGTAAGGCTTTCTCCATCACATGTAGAAATTTCATCTATAGTTGTTGATCACCCTTTTTAGGTTCGATCATAATGGTACAAATTTATTTCTTGTTGCTGTACATGAAATTGGTCATGCACTCGGTTTAGACCATACTTTAAAAGACAAACAATCAATTATGTATCCAACGTATCAATTAATACCAAAAGGTGATATTCTACGAAATATAGACCGACAATGGATTACCGATAAATATGGAGGTAACAGTATGAATCTTTCTCATCTAACAGCTATCACCATACCGGTTTTTTCAGTGCTAGATTTGTACCTCGGCCGCTTTGAAATGGACTTTAAACTATCTCCCATTGCTAGCAGACTGACATAGTAGGTGTTGAAGAAGTTCAGCAGACATTCTTTTAGCTCTTCTTGTTTTTTCTCGTTGTCCCACGTGTTTGTACTTTGTGACACTACATATGTACAAATGCTTTATTTGTACATATGTGTTACAGGCCAATTGCAGATTGGCCTAGGTCATCCTGAAATTCTAAGTTGACCTAGACGAACTTAGGATTGAGATGTCAAGTTAATATAGAATTCCAAGTTAGCCTAGATTAATTTAGAATTAGACTAGGACATATTATAATTGCTTCAATAAAACATAAATTTTTCAATAATAGTGTATGGTTATCATTTCATTGAAAGAAAGCACATAGATAATACGTTTTCAAACTGAGATTCGCATACATCGAATTTTTCGAGGTCACAAGATAAGAAATTACTAGATGCTTTCATTCCATGTCACCTGCTAGTATATTACGCGAGCTTACCTATAGAAACAGCCTCTATTTTGTGCTAGTTAAAGTAATAGACTTTATTGACATCAACTCTTCGTTTCCCGTTAGCGATACTTTCTGCTTCACAACGTAAAGGTGACTGACCCGAATTAACAACACACTTTGTTATTATTTTCCTTTTTTCAGAGGATCTTTGGAAAATCTTCCATTATATATTAATTAAATATCTGGAAACCCTGGAACGCACGCCAGTGTTCTAAAATTGTAAAATTAGTATCTTTTTACTCCGAACTGAACACCCTGTCAAACGAAAATGATTGCGGCAAAATTGGGTCTGTTGTCTGGTACGGTACCAGAGAAACAGTCCTCCATTTCTGCAAAATTCCTCCTAAGTGTATACGGTTTATACGAACTGCAAATGAACGCGTGCCACGTTACGAAGAAACCTATCCAAGTGATACCTTCCGATTTCTTTCGTTCATACGTCGATTGATAGAGGGTATCGAGCTAGTAGAACGCCTAATAGGATTTTTCTCCATGACTCTTGACGACCCGTTTTTCTGGAAAACCAGTTTTTCAGAAACTCCCAAAAAAATAACAAAATCTTTCTTAATGATGCATAATTGTAGCCCGCACATTTCTGATTAAAATGAGACATCGTCAGCTCTACATGACCATTCGTTGCAAAGTTACACAATTTACAAGAAAAGCCCTAACCTAATTTCTTCCTATTTCTGTAGCTTTGAACAGGCATGTAACATTTTTTCTCAACCGGCCGATTAAATTAAATTTCTTTCGGCCCGCCAGCCGACCGACCGGTCAAAAATTTCTGATCGGACTCGCCGGTTGCCGGCACCAGCTACATCTCCGCTTCTGACCATAAGAAAGGAATGTATTTGTGCCTTTCGAATATGGGAAATTGAAAAGTCACTTTCCTTTCTCGCAGGTGGTTGTTCTGATACACCCAACTGGTATAATGGCTATGCGGGCGCTAACGGTGGAAAAGGTTTCACCTGTCAGGAATACGCCACAGCAGGCTCAGACCGACGAGGTTCACCATGGTGTTCAAAT